CGGATCGGACCGCTCGTGTTTTTACTTAACTCAGTTAATTTCGCGTCGCAAATGTACAACCAAAAATTAGCTGTATATGGAACACTAGTTGAGGTATGGATGATATGATCATTAGAGGCGCTCGTGCACTCCTTAATAATTATCATTCTGGCATACGTGCAGTTTCGTCAGATTTGCTACTTGCGTAGATCGACAGAACTCGATAAGGTCTACAATACATATAGAGTCTGAATGAAGTGACGGTATTTTCCATGTGGACATCAAGTTTTTTCCAATTGTCCAGTTATATTGAGCCTCATCTCATATATTAATTAGTATTCGAGATTGTTTTAACTTTTATGTGTAAATGTGCATATTATTAAATGAAAAAAATAATATTATTAAAAGTTAAAATTTGCTATGTTTTGTTACATTTACAAGCAATAGCATCTCAAATACTTTACAAGTATATGTTTTTGCTTGCTCTACAACTATTTATTAAATAATTTTCATATTTAGAGTAAAGAAAGAAGTGAACATTATTAACCTTGAGCTACTCAAAAAATGCATAGATTTTAGATGTTTTTATTTCTGTGATTTTTATTCAAATAGCAAAAGAGAAGTTGTATATAGCCTTTATACAGGAAAAAATACTTTGAGGTGTATTTGATACTATTATTGTCGATCATCATATACTCAATATAATAAAAATAAAATTCTTGATCCTAACAAAAAGAAAACATACTCACTACCACCACCACCAACTGGAAAAAAAACGAAAGAGAAAAAAAAGCAACCTTAATAATAAATATTAAAAAAAAAATATACACTAAGAATTATGTAACAGAAAAAAAAAGAGAAGAGTAAGATTTGGACGAAATTAATAAATAATACCGTCACTTTCATTTTTTAGTTTTTACACCACCACATGTTAGTTGATTAACTAGATCATATTTTGAATAAAAAAATGTTGCTCAAACTATTAGTTCTAATATTAGTTATTTCAGTAGTGGGTAAGTAATATGTCTCTATAGTATCATACGATTTTGCGACTAGCAGTGTAGTTGTACAACAGTGTTTTATTCAAAATTACAGTATACAACCAGATAGTTACTTAAATTTTATTTGCTTTTGCAGTCGTTGATAGTCGATCAAGACGAAAACGTCGGCAAACATCATCATTTGGATCTAACACAGGTATATACGGAACAGGATACAATACGGGAAGTTATTATGGAAGTTATCCTAGTGGTTCGAACTACAACAATGGACTACAACCGTATAATAATCAAAATTATGGATATGGAAGTAATTCTGTGTACGGTAATACTGGCGTGGGAAGTTATGGATATGGAACCAATTCTGGATACGGTAATACGGGAGTGGGAAGTTATGGATATGGAACCAATTCTGGGTACGGTAATACTGGGTTAGGTTATGGATATCAGAATACAGGTCAAAATAATATTCCGTATAATCCAGCATACGGTACTAATTATATTGGCACGAATACTGGTTATAATGGCTATAACACTGGTATGGGCATAAACGGTTACAATAGTAATCAGTACGGATATCCAAATTCAGCTAATACTAATTATGGATATAACGGTTATAATCCAAGTGGTTCAAATTATTATGGGACAGGATATAATAGCAATTCTCTTCCTAATGGTGCCTACTCGGGATCAAGTGGTAATGGATTTTATAATACCGGAAATCCCTGGTATGTATCGGGCGCTATTGGATCAAGTAAGATGAAACCAGTTGGACGTAAAGCGGATACAAGTGGTGCTATACAAGCATCAGCTAACGGATTAAATGAAAATGTTAATGCTGCTGGCTCACAAGGCAATTCTTAAGTTCCTACTAATGGATAAAACGCTAAATATATCATTTTGTTCCAAACTTATCTCATTATTATCTACAACAAGTTACGTCTTTTCAGTAAAAGTCTCGTTTGTACAGAATAGATAAATTTAGTTGTTGATCGTACATAACCAGTAGCCGTTCATGTTAACTTGTCTTCCAAAAAAGTAGAAATAGAATACCAAGATGGATCATTACGTATATTCACAGTGCGTGATTGTATCAATTTTCTTTGTATATCATTGTAGAAACGGCTCTTTCCGAATTGAGACCACTTTTTTGCACGCACTCTCACTTGGTCGCCCTCTAGTGTTTGTATGATGTAATTAAGACTTCGAAACTTTTTGATAAAAAGTGATCTCAATTAGGAAGACTCCCGATAGAAATATAATGTAAAACGCACCATGTAAAGGTTTTTTCTTTTTTGTTAGACTTTTGATTGTCAACGTTGCTACATGTGATAAATGTTTTGCAAATTATTTTAAATTCTGTTTGTGTATTTATTTCTATCTGTAGAGAGAGATTTTTATTCTAATACTAAAGGTTTTTTTGCATTATTTTCACAGCACTTATCTGATCTCTGTAAAAGAATAATCTGTTTGATTTTCGATATTATTAAGATTGTCCTTATTCGACATGTATGAGCCATTACATCAGGCATTTCTAGTCTTGCTACTGAAATCCCACATCTTATCTACCTGTCTTTTAACATGATAGAATTAAGAATTGTAGAATAGAACTACAGTAAAATAGCGAGAAGATGTTAAAAATGTATCTGAACGCAATCACATCTCTTTGTGAAATAAAGACTTTATCGTATGAATTGAACATTATTTAATCATTTCACGTGATTCTATATAGACAAAAAGGCTAGAGTAATAATTTTTATGTCATTATTTTAGTTGAGCAGACATACAATCGAACAAACTTTATGTAAGTATTGATAAAATTAATTCTGAAATTTGTGTCTGTTTTCAAACTTTTTCTCGTACAGTCACAATTTTTATGACTTTATTTTCTTCTGTATCCTGTTGAGAATAAATGATTTTTGTGTATGTTAGCAAATATAATCAGACCTATAGAGCAAAATTCTATTAAAAAGAAAAGACAGATAGAAACTATTTTATACAAAAAAAAAAAGAAATAGTGAGACTTAAAATTCATTTTTTATTGTTTTTTCTCCTATCGGAAGAAATAGAAAAACTGTACACTATTGTATATAGTTCACTGTGCATACATAAGTACAACTTGGATGAATACAAAAGAAGAAAAAGCAATGACATTATTATTCTATACCGATGTACAAAAAAAAAAAGAGAAAAGAATAATGTTGGTGACACAAATTTAAATAGGTATGAATTCTTTCTCTTTCTCTCTGAATGTCACCGCAAAAAACATTTTATTTTATTTTACACAAATGGGTTAGAACATGCGCTTATTTACTACTACTGCTACAGTTCAACTATAGAACGAGTAGCTAACGAATTCTATGATAGGCGACACAATAACTATACCTATACGACGAACTTCTTAAAGAAGAGACAAAAAGCAAATGAGAAGAAGAAAAACGAGTTTTTTAACATAATAATAAGAATAATACTGTTGCGACCACTGAACTATGTACTGTTGAGCCAAATAAAGGGAACGAAGAGAGAGAGAGAGAGAAAGAGAGACCAAGTATATACACACTGACCTGTATTTAATCGAAATGTAATCGAACTAGTGCAAGTAAAATACGAGAAGTTTAGTTATAAAAAAGCAAACATAGTTCAACACACACATAATATGCGGTGGCGTAATTTAGTAGTACAACTATTTATTATCTATTTCATTGGTAAGCCACACTAGTCTTGCTAATCCCAAGATGGATTATGCCTTTTGTAACTTGCACCAAAATGAACAATTACACCCAAAACATTGCTGCATTTGGCTAGAATATGCGAATTGAATCTTTAAGTTTAGGACTAACTGTCATGAAACCGCTCGTTAGATAAAGACTTGATTCAAGATCATAGACCTGTAGTGTAAGATGAACATTAATCATTATTTTTCATGTAAAAATCTTATGACTATTGGTTAAGAAAAACCCAACTTTTTTAGATCCCGTAGATCTTAAAGTTACTTTATCTTCCGTTATATATATCTAGCTTCAAATGTTGAAAGCCGACCTCGTCGTCGACGTCGTCAAATATCATCTCAAGGTTATGGTAGTGTACCTGGTGGAGGATGGTCAGGATCATCAGGGAATCCAAGTGGTGCCATTCCTGGCGCCTATTACGGAACAGGAAACAATCCAAATTATGGTGGTTTGTCAAATGTAAATGGTTTGAATACAAATACTGGCGTAAATAGCTATCCAAGTGGAACAAATTTAAATCAACAACCATATGGAACAAACGTTAATAATCCAACAGGTGGAACGAATTATTTGTCGAGTGGAAGTAGCAGTTATTCAAATGTGTATCCATCAGGTAAGATAGTGAAAAAATGATAAATCTTTCTTTTTTATTTAAAATTTCCTGTTACAGGTACAAATATTAATTCACAGTACCCTGTAAATAATGGTTATCCAAATACCAATCTACAGCAATCGTATGGCACTAATAATAATTTGAATAATCCAAGTGGTACAAACTATTATGGTCAAGGAAGTAATTTATTACCAGGAAATAATGCCTACGGTAATATGGGTTCATCATCGTGACAAAATCAAAATAATCTTCAAGGGTCCGTTAATGAATGGTATGCGAAATAACACAGTCACAACTTGAGCACAGAGCAAGCGCAAAGGAATAGTTCATAAATTTGCAACGAATGTTCGCTTACGTCCTTGAACTTATGATTTTGCTAAATAATATTTCAGAAAAACATCAGCTATTCATCAGTGACCGGAGCACGTATACACACACAAAATGGAAAAATCTTGAGAAACAAGTCAAATTCGTAATCAAAAACGATTTGTTACAAAACGCTTTACTTTTCAATCGATTTTTAAACCAAATTGACTAGAATCAAAATGTGTTATCAAATTGAAGAGATTTTGTTATTATTTATTTATGTATTCAATCAACTTCAAAATGCTACTTTTTTAACGAAAGAACATTATAGCCTTGTTGAGCAAATGTTGTACGATTTTTTTGTATTGAAAAAAAATTAAAATTTTTATACAAAAGTTTACAGTATAACATAAAAAGAATTAAAAGTAAACCATTTGGTTATATATTTGACATCATTGACAACAGTATTCATACAGACTGACAAAAATTCTACAAAAATCTATAATTCAGAAAAGAGCTAGGTACATACTAATTAAAAACGAGACACACACATAAGCAAAATTAGTACGTAGCTCATTACTTTTATTCCAACCATTGTAATAAGGATTATAAGTACTACTCGAATAAGAATTATAATTGGACCCGACATTATTTGCATACCATCCATTAACCGACCCTTGACGATTATTTTGATTTTGATTTTGCCACGATGCTGAGCCCATATTACCGTAGGCATTATTTCCTGGTAATAAATTACTTCCTTGACCATAATAGTTTGTACCACTTGGATTATTCAAATTATTATTAGTGCCATACGATTGCTGTAGATTGGTATTT